AACCTAGATTTCTTCATCGCTTTTTTGAAAGATAGCGTTGTTATTTTATTCCTTGTTGACGAAGTAGCTGAAGTTTAGGCGGATTTCGCCCAACTGCATTGGAAATAAAGTAGTTCCTTCGAACATTCGCCATTCTCTATGAGTCTTTCACTGAGTACGTCACGTGGAGAACAACTGCACAGAGCTCACATGGAAGCGTAAAGTTCATCTCGCACTTTAAAATACCAGTACTAAGCATTGTATTAGACCTCGTAGGGTAACAAGGCATTCTTCCCTGCGGTTCGTTTTTGGATTCTTGGAATTTACCCAGAATGCTTCCAGAGTTTTTCAAGCTGATGTTCACGATTCCTGAGCGAATCGAGAATACGGTGAATTGTTCCATCAATGCTGAGGTTAGTGGAAAGTCGATCTTGGGAATCACCTTTTGGAACGTTTAATTCCGAAAATTTTCAAATCGAATGAACGCTATAAAACTACATACACGGTTAAAGCTATAGCACCAGGTTTTTTCCACAAATATAAAAAGTTCCGAACTTCTTAAACACTTTATGATGGAGAGATTATGGTCCGTAGTCGAATGTTTGAAGGGTTATATCACATTAGAGTTCCTCTCTACACGTTCGCTTATCCGATCCGATTCATTCGAGGCGGACGCATAAAGGGGTATTAATCCCATAACAGCCTAATGGCAAACATCCCTCAGTAGGAGACGAAGAAGGAGCTCAGACGAACACGACGTCCGACTAGATTACGTCGGAGATTCGGCTTTTCGACCACGAACGGATGATACTGCCTCCAAATCTGGACATGTTTTTTGTATTTATATATTGTATGTTTTTTACTTTTCCAAAAAATAAGGAGTTAAAAACTAAAGTTCAAAACAGATGTTTTCGACGCTTTCTTGATCAGCGAACACGAGGCTTTTATTACAACATATATTCATTCACAATAGTTGTCACCTCGGAGGCTTAGCCTTCTTCAAACTCTGGAAACGTGAAATTGACATACAATCTACTCGGCCAAACACTTTCATAACCTCAGTAGATAACACTTAATACATAAATGCTAGCTTTTATTACTTATTGTCGCCTACAATTTTTTACGACAGGGTATTGTGTGAAATACAACCACAATGATGCTGAGATATTTGTAAAATCCGGATCGCAAGTGTCTGTGGTGGTGATCGAACATTGTAGTGAACGCATTAGCCCCTGAAAGGGTAATAGCGTGTTCGATCCCCACCGCAGACACTTGTGGTCCGTAGTTTAGCAAATATCCCGGCATCGTTGTGGTTGTATTCAATGCCTGATTTTTCATTCACACAATAAACAGCTTCTCTTAAACTAAGATCACTTGTAAAGCTTGCAGAGACAAATGCACTAGCGAAATGGGTTATACCACTGTGTGTCCGTATAAAAGAACACCTAGTCGGGTAACGAAGTTAAAGCAAATACTCCGCTTGACGCGCATAGGACGTAGATACATAACGGGGAAGATTTTAAAGTTGAAATCATTGCCCTCATAAAAGAATCAAAAACATCGGCGCATAAAACTCTCGGAGTACTTTGGATAAATTCCCAAAATCCAAAAATGAACCGCACGCAGGGAACAATGCCCTGTGGTCACCCGTAACCATGTGTCATACCTCAGGGTGATTCTTTGGCCTGAACCATGCGTCGTGCATTCGGCTCTATTAAGCATCACAGAAGTAATTAGATGCGCATCTGGTCTTTACAATGACTTGCGGTGGCCAATCGTTGTATCAAGTTCATGTTTTTATCCTCCTAAACAAGTCTTGTATCCATTTGTCGATCCAGGAGGGAAGAAGGGCTTGGGGAGCCCTACACGCTAGATTGAACTACCAACCGCATGTGTTGCAGGGCATCTCTGACCACCGAAGTACACCGACCTAAAGATTATGGATCTCGATATGTACGTCTATGAACATGGAATTAAAAACATCTTTTCAAACTCTCCGATTTTCCCAGAATTATTAACGTATTTTAGAAAGCCTTTATGATCCTGTCCTACCCGAATGAAAGCCAATTGCTGCTTCCTTTCATTACTATCAACGTTTTACCCAAAACTCAAATTGTGACCACGTTAATGATGCCGTCGAAGGAAACTTGAGTAAAAGTAATCTATATGCGGGCTCTCTACTGGAATGAAAAACTATTGACCAAATGACAGTTATTACTTTGAGCAGCTAATTCCATCCATTCATTTAGGACTGGGTGATGCACTGAAAACGGAAAGGCGCAGATCTTTGGGGCACTAGAGCGTTTTTTTCTCGATTTAAAGAAAGCTGGTCGATCGACACGTATTAATTATAAGTGAACCACTGAAACATTGGGCAAAGAACAACTACCAATTGTTAAATTTCTTACTGAAAGTTACTAATAGAGAACTGATAAACTCCACAGTGTACTCCAGTCCTATCCCTTGTCCTTCGTCCGTCCTTGGACGTTTTCACGTCACCAGTAGTTTACCGTAATAATTCGGGATTTTGCTGCTTGTTGAGTTGCAGGATTTATAGCAGGTTTTACATCTCAGCAGGTGGTCGTCCAGCCTGCGTTAGAGTTCGACATTTTTATCCGGAAGTTCAGCTATGAGGTAACCTATATTACAGCAGAGACCGACGAGTTGCCCATAGCTACGTTCTCGCCAAAAACGGTAAATAAAAGTGCATAATACGAAAACTGTTACGCTGTTCGTGTCTCTCTGGCAAGCATAGGTAGTGAATCACCTAGCACACGATAGAGATAAATGAAGTTTAGCGGTCCACATTAGGATTACTCGAGAGATTAGCTAATGCACAGGTGATTCTGAGTTATTGTTTTGCCTTATTGCTTTATATAAACAGTAGGTAGAGCTTTACGCTTTAGTTTTTTACTCTTTTTTCGTCTTTCTTCAGATTTAGTCCTTTTGCAAAGCGAAACGTTCGCGTGCATTTGTTTAGGCCAGCCGTTCCTCCTTACTACTGATTACGTGGAAAATTATGCTCACCATTTGTAGAGCACTTTCCCTCCAAGAATCAGTTGACGCGCTCGGTAGAAAATGTGGTTTTTCATTCTTGGGCTTAGAATAAAGTTATTTTTCTTTCGTTGCCCAGAAAGAGAATAAACGAAGGGCCAGCGCCAGGGGTTTGATCGCATCATTAGAAGAGAACAGTAAGCGTCTTTGTCTAATTTCTTAAGGGTACCAGACTACCTAAAATAGACTCACTCATGAGGACGAGTGCAGTTTTCTGGAAACCGTTCGACAGAAATACATACGATTACCTTTTGTTTCTCTTGCTGAAAATGCTGCCTTCATTTCTAAGCGATCCTTGTGTGAAACGCGATCGGTGAAAACATCGAAGGACTTTCTGGAGCACAATATGACAATCTTGTTCCTTTGCAGTCACTTTTAAAAATTATCCTCAGTAATTCAGAAACGTGCTGAGTTGTCTATAATACGACGATTTTGTGTAAATGCACAATTCGTTTTTTTTACTTTTGAACTTTTTGTTTACTTTGTTCTCCAAAGTACGTGCTACGCCCATCTTGTGAGTAATACTTACTTGATACTTGAATGGTCCGCCCTCACTGGTTGTGCGGGCCCCAGCATAATCTCCATTTTTCGGAGATTTGCTAGTTAAGCCATTATGGTTCCCTGGAGTCACGAGGTCAGTCTGGCCAAAGTCTGCCCCAGGCCTTCACCACGACAAGCATTCGCAACCCTTGTGGATCGGACGGATATTTACCAAAGTGCGACTTTGATGCCGTGACGATGGTGGATCCTGGTATTGGTTTACTCTTTGCTAGGTTTCCTGATGGACTCTTCTCAGCTTAGGGGACCCTGCCAGGTGATGAATCCGCCGCTGTACATCGAAGTCCGACACCCAGGAACACCTCCTAGCTACGATGAGTAGGTAAACCGTTGTGAGATGTGAGTAATAGCAAATAGGAATAATTTTTATTTAACCTTTTAATCTTAATAAGTCTGAAGAAAACTTTTTTCTATAAGATCAGAGATTTGAGAAGGGATTCTGCTCTTGGAAAATAAAATGAGCCGCAGCTTCCGGAAAAAAATCTTATGGAGCCGATTCTATAGAGTTTTAATGACAGAGGGTTTGCCGGTATTGACTTAACTTACGGTTTCAGTTCCTTCCCGTATGACTGTTTGTTAGCTTTCCGAGCTTTTGTGCCACCTTTCGTATATCAATCGCTTCTATCCGAAATGTTCTTTACTGTCTCTCTTCAACAGTTTCATTTCTCAACCACTTTCGATAAGTCTATTGGAGTTGTGTTTTGTAAAGCTTCAATAAGTAGTACACCGAGAATTTGAACACCATCTGGAAATCACAATGTTTTAACGTTTTGTTTTCTGCCTTCTATAATTTTCATGGAAGGTTACTAAGCGAAATACAACCACAACGTTGCTGAGATATTTGCAAAACTCTGGACCGCAGGTGTCTATAGTGGGGAACGAACGCGCTATTATCCTTTCCGGGGAGTAACGCGTTCACCACCACACCATGCGGGTCCTTTGTTTCGCACGTCTCTCAGCTATTTCTATCGATCTTTTTGCCACAGCAATCACCCGTCAGCGGGGTTGATCTGGGGAGCGCAAATCGGCATAGAACCCAGTTAAGCTATGGCTGTAGTTGAAATCACAATGTTTTAACGTTTTGTTTTTAACTTTTTCTTTTAACGTTTTTTTTTTTAACTGGGTTCTATGCCGATTTGCGCTCCCCAGACCAACCCCGCTGACGGGTGATTGCTGTGGCAAAAAGATCGATAGAAATAGCTGAGAGACGTGCGAAACAAAGGACCCGCATGGTGTGGTGGTGAACGCGTTACTCCCCGGAAAGGATAATAGCGCGTTCGTTCCCCACTATAGACACCTGCGGTCCAGAGTTTTGCAAATATTCGGTTCGGTCACTAACAAATCTTCAGCCTAGTGATGACGATCGTATTCAGACGGTCATCGGTCGCCGTATAGATCGTCCTGGAGCGATGTTCGGCCGATCGATGGCACTGAATCAATATTTGGCATGGGTATACGTGGGTGACGTCAGCGGCGTCCGTTTGATTTGTCGCCTCATTTGCCCGACCGTCGGTCGTCGTCGTTTGCTGGATGGGTGGGTCCAGCGAAGAATGACATCGTCAGTGATCATAAATCATCCGTTTCCTCCTCTTCATTCCTCTCGTCAGTGATGAAGTGACTCCTTCGTTAATGACGTTTCTTGTTAAAGAATCATTTTCTTAAGAGTGTTCGTTTTAACACTCAATTTGTAACTGGTCTGATTCATCTAAGGCTTTTCTTATGGTCATTGATTGCAAATCCACAAACCTTTACACATTTAGAGCCTTAATAATAAGTTCATTAACGTTCTTCTTCTAGGAGAATGGCGTTCATGTTTCTCTGTTTCTCTGTTTCTCTATCCATTCCCTTCTCTATTAGAACATTTGATCCTTTTAGAATCATTCCTCATCATTTTCCTACTCTTCTGTCAATCATTTCTTCGATTTCATTTCAATTTCAGAAGAAGGCTCTCCCTCTTCTTAGTCTCAAACATCCCTCACCTCCTCGTTCGTATCACTGTCATTGTCAATTTATCCCAATTTCGAAGCCCATCAAAACTAAGCTCCCTTAGCGTATTTTTCTTTTTCTCTTTTTCTTCTTTTTTCTACTTCTTCTATCTTTTGCTGGCTGCATTCATCTTCATCTTATCATCAATTTATTTTTGTTGTTGTTGTCGTTTAGTTTGGAGGAGCTTTCTTTGCTCTCCTTTGCCCTGACAGTCCGACCCGTCCATCTCTATACCGTATAAATAAATACAGTCGAATATTTATAATAGTGAATAAAACGTCTTGTATTTTTATCCCTTCCATTTCATCCTTTTCTCCGAATCTCTCCATCTGAAACGTTCGTAGCGTGTCTCCGGAGTAGTTCCTCGTTTTCCTTAACGTTCCACTCCCACTTCGTCCCTAGCGGAACAAATATCGCTGGCGTCGTTCTCGGTTTCAATCCAGTATTCCGATACTTTAATTTGTTCATTAACTGCTTATGGACAACAACGAAGTCCATGTGTGCTTCTGAGTGCTTACTCCGCTTCGACATCCAATTGGGTGTTTTCGTCGCCGGCAGTAATGAGCGCCGCAAGTGGAACCCATCAGTGCTCATCGGACGGAAACGAAGTCGGGTTGCGTTACTTGGCGTCAGTTCGCATCATGTCGGAAGCTTCGTTGTCGGACTGGAAGATGGCCATCACATTCTCTGTTTAGAAGTGCATTTTGAGTGAGAATAACCGCTGTTCAGTGTCTCTGGTTCCCATCAGTCTGTTCTTTGAAACTGACTTCCTTCATGATTTCTGCCTCTGGTACTCGCGACGATGTATTCCCTTGATAATACGGTACGAAGCACAGCGTTTAGTTTTCCTGTAAAATATTTCTCTAAATCTAAATAAATCTAGATAACATAATATTTTTGGTAGCTCTGGTCTGCCTATTGTATTGTTTTCTTCATTTGCTTCTTTTAGATGTTTTTTGTAGCCCAGCTAAGAGTAAACCACTACGAGGATCCATCGCCGTTCTGGTAGCAAACTAGTCGCATGGTGGCAAATCTCCCTCTGATCCACAAAGGCTGCGATTGCCTGCGATGGTGAGGACCTGGGGCAGACTTTGGACTAACTGATCTGAGGGTTCCAGGGGACTACAGTTGCTAGGGTGAGGATGGGCCATCCAAGTATCCAAGTAAGAGGTTTTTGTTAACGTAATTGGAGTGAGTAATTGACAAGGGCATAGTTTATGTTTAGAATCCCCTGGGATTGCCGTACATTCCCTCCTTCCATCGTTTTCCATCTAAAAACTACTTTTTGAAGAATTTAGTGAGTCTTTAAGAGATCTCTTCCGGTGGATCTCTCAGTGAAAAAGAAACCAGTATTGATTCTCTGGTGTTCATATTGAGAACTCATTATGAGCATGTTTTTGCAGTTGCTTCTAGAATTCTATGGAGCTCTCCTTTTGTTGAGCTAATAGACTCATCTGGCTTCATTCAACTGACTTTCTTGCAGTTACTTTAGCATTTCACTTAGTTCTTCAGTTTTAAAGGGCGCGTGTGGCGCAGCGCTGTGGTTGGAAGCGCCACTGCAACGCACACGTGGAATTGCTCCTCGTGGCCATGGCGGCCCATCAAGCCCTCCATCCCTTCGGGGTCGGCAGATTGGTACCAGATTTGTCTGGGAGGATAGCAGCATTGGCTCGACACATCAGTAGGTCACCGCGAGTCATTGTAAAGACCAGATATACATTCAATCACTTCCAACGACACTTAATGAAGTTGAATGCATGGCGCACCCCTCATAGATTGACCAACGCCGAGAGCTTTATCCTTTTTTCTATCCTTCACTCTTAACAACATTTGTCCTTTGATTTTCCATTTGTTCCGAATGAATATGATGTTCTGAAAACCGCTTTCCTTTTTTAATGTTTCAGTTTTTTTTTCCAGTTACCTGGACTAAACTAACCAATTAAGGCAATTACTTAAACACTGAAGGAAGTGGTTGCAAAAGGTGTACGTCTTTATAACTGGTCACATCAGTTCATATTCCAACCTTATCAGAAAAGAAAGACTCGACGGATAGACACAATTGATTGGAGATCAGGATTTCGGCTCCAACCCCATAATTTGTGTTGTGTTATGTGGATGAGTGGGGGCGGGGATAGCGCGGTAGTTAGCGATGCCGTCAGTCAGGAAGCAAAAGCACACCCGCTCTACTCCAGTTGACGTGGGAACAGCCGCAATAACACACGAAATGTTCCAAGACCCATTCTGGATGTTGGATGCGAGAAACGAGTGCAAGAGATGCTGAGATCCGCACAATAGATGTGATGACGGGTCGTGTGAAACAAAAAATAAATAGATATGTTCCTGCGCACAGTACTAGTAGTCCGTTCTCGTCGGGACCCAAAAAAAAAACGGCTCGGGAGTGCTTCCTTGGAGCATCGGGACGACTTTGCGCTGTTCAAGAGCTAGTTTCGAAGTCTTTCAAGTGTTGCACTCGATGTTTCCACATTTTTGTTCTTTGTCGCTCGCTTTGTTCCTTGCCGCTCTTCACTCTTCATCGTTCGAGTACCCGATCCACCACATGGGTTCATTCGGGGCTTAGTCGTATTCGTTCGTCATTAAACGTCCACTTGAACAGTACAATGTGCTTTTTTGGTAAGTAACTGCACTTCCAGTGTCAAACGATTAAGGCGTAATTGGTGGGAACGTCTCTTTTCTTGTCTGAGCATTTATTATTGCACTATAATTCTATGATAACGTACAGTAATGTGTAGTGATGATAATGTTTTATCCTACATCCTATTATAATTATGATGTTTCTGACATAAAAAAGGACTACGCCTGGCATTGTTATAGCAGATGCTTCCTACGAGTTTTTTAAGTATTCGTCTTCTGACTACTCTCCAGAACGGCTCGTGAGCCCACAGGATGGAATCATGCCTTTGGGCGATCCGCACAAGACATTTATTATATTATACTTCGACGTGGTAACTAGCACTGACCAGACGTACGTATCGCCCTCGGCTAGACATTTCCCTGGCGGTGTTGCCACTTTTTCTCCTAAATTGGCGCCGTCCGGCTTCTACATATACTCGCTATTCTAAGCATGAGTATTGGCTTTAACTGTGTTTTCATTATCGCTGTTTTTTTTACTTTGTAGGCATTTATATTATATATTTATGGCATAGGAAGTGTCGAGGAAGGTTTTCTCGAGGCTTCGATTAACGTATTTTTTAACATTTCCTTTACAATTTTCCAATAAAATTCTTAGTCTGTGAAGAGCTGTGAATGTTATCTTGAACCAAGCGCTATTAGATACTGCCAGAATTTTGCCAGCATTTTTGTAGCTGGTCGAAAATGATTTTAGTGGTTTTCCCACGGTAATGAAGCGCTGTGCATGGAGAATGAAGGCGAAAACTTCTTTTACTTGAAAAAGTTCTCGAACACACCCCATGATTAGATTTGTGTGATGAGAAATCCGGAAGTGCTGTCGAGATGCCGTTGAATCTCCCAGTGCCCGGAGAAAACCCATGAAGGGATTCGAGAGGTAGCTATTACTTTTAAGAACGTGTGCAACAAAATGGAAATGGGTGGCTACGAAAAATGATTTTATCAGAGGAATGGAGCAGTTATTCCCAAGTGAAACCTTTGTTCCATCATTTTCAGTCTTTGATTCTTTTTTTGTCCTTACACGTTTGTTTTTGTTGAACTTTTCATAGCTAGGACTTATTCCTACTAACTTTTGGTTTCATTGCTATTTCTAATACTTTTAGTTAACGTTTTATTCGTTAGAAGCACTTTAAGAAGTAAATTCTTTTGTGCCAAGGTGAGCAAATATCTTTATTTGTGGTAGATGAAGGTAAAAGGTAGGGTAAAGGATAAAGCTGTCGACGTTGATCAATCCCAAAGGGATGCCCCATTCATTCCACTTCATTAAGCATTGTTAGAGGTGATTAAATGCATATCTGGCCTCTACATTGACTCACGACGGTCTACCGATGTATCGATTAGTGCTGCTATCCTTTCAAACAAGTCCACTACGAATTTGCTGACCCAGGAGGGATCAAGGCTTTAGTGAGCCTGGGGCGCGGGATCAATCCTATGTGTATAGCAGGGCGCCTCTAATTGCTGCGCTATACACGCCCCATACGGTGCGAAAGTGAGAGCATTCGTCGGAAATATATCTTTATCTCGAAAGATTTTTTCATATCTTAACCCTTTTATTTACTGCCTTTTTCTTTTTAATGGCAGGGTATGTTGCGAAATATAACTCGTGTATAATGCTCCCTGGTAAGGACAACAGCGCGGGTTCGTTCCCCACCGCATACACCTGCGGTCTGGAGTTTTGCAAATATCTCAGCATTATATACGAGTTTTTTCATGTCATTTATCTTTCCTTCAAGTCGTAGAGATGTCTCTTTGTCGATAATGTTTTAGAAATGGGTCATGTTTTCTACTAATATGGAAAGGACAAGTTTATGTTTTACTTTTGACTTATATGGTCAACTATCCAAGTAAAAATAGAAAACTTATGAAAGGTGCTGTGATGAGACTTTATCTACAATATGGTCCAGTGTTCCTTTTGAGGATTTTGACTGCTCAATCTTTTCTGATCTCTTCAGTCGTCGTGTGTGGCATTATTGCGTTA